CTGAAATGTTGCACACTTTGAGAATCTGATGGAATTTACCTCCATCTTATCTCTGGTAACATTTTCAACAGAAAAGTGCTTGTTATTTCAAATAAACTGGAGCACGCGATTGTGAGGAATTCGCTCACTTGTGCGTACTGTTTACATGAAACGCGGGGGAAGTGGGCATACAAGATGTGTTATCTCGGAATAAGCCAAACGAAGTTTCACTCAGCGTTGGATTGGAACAAATGAACAAGCACGTTCTAAAGCAGTTCCACGATGATGAACTCTACAACGCAAAGTGGCATTAAGTGAAGCGGGGCAGATTTCCGAGGAACTTGAACACGGAGAGGGCTGCTGATCGAACGCGTCATTGCACAGGGCTTTTGACGATGAAATCTCTCCGACAGAGCAAATGAAGCCTGAATTACCACGACTGGAAGCAGTGAACAGCTAATTCGATTTGACCCATCAGAATTCACCTTACAATCAAATCAAATTTCGTTATTTTCATGCAACGGGGCATAAGGCTCGAACTGCTTCAAATCGAATCGTACCGTGGAGGCTAGTGCTGAGATGCTCGAAGTGTTGTGTTACATCTTTGCTACGCAAAGGGAAAAGCGGTCTGGTTTGTCCAGTCGTTCTGTGAACAAGTGTGCCGTTGCTTTTGTTCTTTCTGTGTGGTTCCGAGTTCGTTCCTTATTTGGGCCAGGTCAACCAATGGGAATGAGTCGTGGTGTCTGTGTGCGTGTGCGAGCGAGCGAGCCCCCACGTGTGTGCATCTGTATGTAGGTGACGTAAACACTGGTCTTCGTCTGAGAGATAAGCACCGGCGAGTGGGACGGAGAATTGATCGATGGCATAATTGACGTTGACAGATATCACATTCCTTTCGCCTTTGTGCGATTAGACCTTATCCTGCCTGATATCTGTCCACTGGCTTGTTTTCTCTGCTTGATCGGCGGAAATTCTACTCAGGTGCTGAGTCCTCATTGTGGGATGTGGAATTATTCTCAATGATAGGAGTCGTTTCGTATGGTTTATCCTCGGGTACATGTCTAGTACGAACTTGGTCGTTATGGCGTGTCACTATTCTTCCGTCCGAAAGCTCGATTTCACTTTGCTGGCCGTTAGTGCACCTCACTACACCCGGCTCCCAAGATGGCTCGTGTGGTTATTTGGTGTACACTAGGTCGTCTCCTTCAAAGTTCTTGTGTTTGGCTCAATCGTCATATCTATCTTTCATTTTTCCTTGTTTTTCCATGATATCAGCTCTTGGTTCTCGGAAAACGAGACTCAGCCTCGTTCGTAGTTTACGTCCACGGTACTTTTTCCCGTGCTTTCTGTTGGGGTTGTACGATATGATAGTAAGAACCTCGCCAATTGGGTCCTTAACGTTCCACATTGTTGTTTCAGTAAACCTTGTTTGACGGTGTGAACGGCTCGTTCCGCCAGCCCATTGGAGGCTGGATGGTAAGGGTAGTTCTGACGTGACGTATGCCATTTCTCTGAACGAATTGTTTAAACTC